CAGTTCCCAAACCTCTCCTCAGGGGCACCCCAGTCATTCCATCTATATATTAAATTTGACCACCACCTCACTTAATTAGTTAAAATAGCCAGTGTGATATTGATTAGCCATACGAGGTGTGCTGGCGGTCGAGTCAAAAAATACACGACTGTGTTGGACGTTTGCTGCAAATTCTGGGGTGTTTTCAGCATTTCCGAAACGACAATGCTGACACACTTCTAGGGCATATCATAGTTTTACGCCAATATGATCATTTTCACATCACTTTTTTTGGCTGCCTAAGACTTTTGCACAGTACTCTATGTGCATTTTAACCATCAGGTGAAGTCCAGTCGAAACCAATACATAAGATGTCACTTGGCCAGTTAGCTCCGTCGATTAGAGTGTGGTGCAAGTAGGTTGTGGGTTCGATCCCCTTTTGAGCATATGGTGTGTGACTCAGCAGGTTATGCCTCTGCGTCTGGTCACTCAAAGGTTGTTGGTTTACACCTCACCCTCAGCTAAGTAAACACATTTCTGCTGGGCCCTTGAGCAAGGCCCTTAACCGCCTGAAATACCCCAGGGGTGCTGGATGAAAGGCCTAACCCTGGGCTTGGACCCAAAACTCTGCTGGCAACCATATATATGTGTCGTGTACAGTATGTCTCAGAACAAAGAAAATGGGATATTTGAAAACCCAAAGATTCCTATGGCAAATATACCATATTTTTTTTTCAATTAACATATGGCATGAGTGAATATATCCCTATTTCAAGATGCCCTGAAGTGATTTCATGTAAAATATGCAGTGTAAAAATCGCACTGTCTTCTCCTGTGTGCTGTCAGCATAAATTTTCATTTGCAGCTGCAGATGTCCACCATCGGCACCTCTTGGAAGATAAACATGGTAAATAAATCAATGTAAATGTGCCCTTTTAAAGATAATTATCCTGCCATAGTTACTGTCACCTTCCCTTGGTCAGTTGGATAACGGTGGAGGCTTTAATCATCAAGGGTTATAAGGTCCAGCTTCTTTACCTTCTACCGTTAGCTAGGAAGCCAAAAACGTGAACCTCAGACCTGACAGTTTTGGTTTAAAAGCTCTCGTTACAACACATTATGTAATAAATGCCACGTTATGTAATAACTCGACAAAATGTAACAAAATTTCATCACATAATACGATGTTATTACATAATGTGTTGTCACAACTCTTTATTAATAGAAAAATGTTATTCAGTTGCTCTTCTGTTCAAATGGAAATGTGCATCTTAAAGGGCTATAAATGCACCGTGTTGCAGTAACTTCCAATCCCATTAAATGCAGCCTGTGCCAGGAGGTACCCGGCGTCTCCGTATCGTCACATAAGATTTCATGGTTGATTGATGCGAATCGAAGGAGCCGGTTTGTGATAGTGAGGCGGGACACAGCTCACACACGCCGTGCCGTCAGTGGAGCAGAGGTCGCCGCAATGCCTTCTGGGGCTTCATTTTCACCAATTACATATTGCGTGTGATTGGCTAGGCAGGCGGGACCCACCCCCCCGACAGTTTACGTTTTTACTCCCAAAAATGTGGACAGTCTGGGGGGGTCCATGAGGACAGGGTTGAGAGACACCAGGTTAGGGAACCAGTGCCTATAAAGGCCCACATTCAGCTGCCAACGAAAGCCATCCCTCGTCCCGTCTCCTCATATTACGCCTTCGTGGGAAGTCTCCATTAAACGCCTGCATTTATTAATATACATAACTGCAGACACGCCTCCTGTACAACAGCCGCAGATAAAGGATCCTGCCTGAGAGCCAGCTGGGAGCTCTGAATCTTCCCTACTACCATGGTCTCCTAATGACGACAAACCGCTTCAGGGTTAGCTGACGTCCTTTCCGGTTGTGAATCCATCCACTCGTCTTCCCAGCCCTCATACATTACAGGGCCATAGGGATTTGCTTAAGCCTGTGTTAACATGCAGACAGCACCACACAATAGAGATGGTTTGGAGATGTCAAGTCACCTGACCACATGTCTATGGACTGCAGGAGCAAAGTCATGCAACACAAGAAGTACATAAAGGGGTGTAGTGAGAAATTCAGGGCCCCCTGATAAAATGTCAGCTTGGGCCCCCACACTTGGGGCCCCATATTGCAAAGGTTTGGCAGAGAGAGAGGCCCCTGAAGGTTTCCATGCGTCCCCAAGGCCCCTGCACACAGTGGATGTGGGTTTTGAACCCATACCCTGCAGGTGCCCAGTGAGCTGAAATCCAAATCTGGATCAAAGACGTACAAACGTAAACATAAAAAGTTCTGGAGTTACAGGCCAGGGCTGTCATGCTTAGCTGAATAAATTGGGCATCCATCTACACTATCCTGTTTTTGCAGTTGTGCACCGTGCACAATTGCACCGTGTTCTCCTGCCTTTAGCTTAGGCTTTAGCTTAACGTTTCAGCCCCTGGATAAGCAGGAATCAAAGATTTATTGATAATAACAATTCTTTGAAACTCCATCCTAATATTGCACATTTAAGTATGTAAATTTCCAAACGGCCTACTGAGACGGCATTCGGTATTAGGATGTAGTAAAGTCCTATATTTTTCGCACGCTACTTTTTATCGTTTGACTGTTACCGGAACAGGGTCCGGAGCCGGTGGAACAAGTTCAGTCGGGTCCCATTCTTATCTATAAATCTTTACATCCTGCATGAGACCGGACGATACTGGCACATGAATAACTGTCGGTGCCTACAAAAAACAATACGTTTAAGACCCTTGCCTTAAATTATCACTTTATCTTCGGCTGGCTTATTTATTCGTGAAAATCAACTACTCGGCAAATGGATGCAGCCACTGATTAAGCGGGTTTGTTAATTGTATCTTACTAGACTATAGCACTAAGGGACCAATGAATTCAGATCGCTTCACCTCATTAATTGTGTAACTTCTACGGTGACGTAATCTATTAACGTCCCGAACGTTTATTTGCCTTTGCACTGGTAAATACCTTTTAGACGCACTGAACACTGCGGAGCCTAAAAAGGGACCCACGTAGATTGTCCTGTTTGGTTGTTTATTGTCAACTACTGCCACCTCCTGGCCGTCATGTGCAACTGAGTCGCCGCAATACGCCAGGGAAACGGTGCGCAGAAGACACGAGGAACCGGCTCACTAAAAAAAAGATCAGATTATCCTCCAAGGTATTACTGCGTTAAGAATTATGCACAGTTTGAAGCCTTAAAATAAATAACATTTATTATTTATAAAATTATATTACCACGAAAAACTTTTGGTGTCAATTTTAGGCGTTTATATCAATGGCGTAAATGTCCCTAATAATATTGTTGGAGTACCGTGATGTAGCTAATTTTAGGTTTATGATGGAATAATATAGATTTGCCGTAAGAGATTTCTTGCGTGAGATCGGCAGCCCCGCACCACTCTAATACCGCCTTTCTTGCCCCGGTTTGAGTGACACTCCAATGCGCCGCTTTGCCTCCTGCTAACTTCCAGTCAGTGGCTCATCGGGACCGCATCGGCCATATGTGTGAGACGTCTAAATACACACATTATCTGACCCTAAATCTGCCGGCACCCTCCAGCAAATAGGTCACCGCCTTGCCCCGTAAGAGACCCAGGGGGGACGGGGCAGTGACCTGCTGGATCAGAGCAAAGCCTTTGAGTGGGCAGCTAATGTGTTATTTAGCGGGTGACCGAGGATTGTGGGTCAGCCGCGTCTGTCTAACAGAGAAATTAGAAAAAGATATTGTAGGGCCCAGTCAGTGATGCGCGGCCCTCTGTTTCTCAGATGGATTACCACGCTCATCCCTTCATCCCACTTTTAATTCCCAGCAGCTGAACTGAAAATGTGACCCGACTGCAACGCCGACAGAAAACCGAAGGATCTCTCCCCCCCTCCTTTTCGCCTCCGGGAGTTTTTCTTTAAAAGCGTCTTGCTGTTATCCCGAGTGATGAGGCGGCGCTTTGAGCATCAGCCGTCTTGCCTTCTTTCCTCTGGCAGTAGATCATGTAATGAAAAGACGCCGCTGTTGCATTTCCGCGATCGGTCTTTATTAACTCGGGTGAAGGGGGGGCGTCTTCCGCCGTCTTCCTTTACCGTTAGTTTACGTGCCATGTGGCGTTCTTCCGAGTGGGGGCGCCATCTCTATTTGTTTTTTACAGTATCAGGGAAACTTGGCTCCTACATTGTTAACACTGGCCAGAAAACTTTGCTCTACACAATCGAAAGAGCTCCTTCGCATAGGCCTGTGTGTTTTCTTAATACTCCAAACAGGACGGATAATTTGACTTGTTTGCCTGCTTAAATATTCAGTAAACCCAGTAATAATCAGTAACATGCTTTTCTTTACGTTTCTTTTAGCGTTCGAGTTTGATGGCGTCTGTTGTTATAATCATTTTTGAAAAGCATTTTTGGAGAGGAAAAATAGACATCTGGGTCTTCTGTGTTCATCGAGGAGTAATATAGATGAAATTGACATTGCTCCAATTTCGTCTGTATTGCAAGACCAATTCAGTCTTATTTGGAAGGCTATCGAGGCTTGTCTCTTAGTCCTAATGGGGGGCAATATATAGATAAGAGAGCCCTTTCATAAAATCAATATTGATTTGGCTTCTGATGGCTTTGAGGCAAAGCGCTTTGTTTTTCCCCGCAAAGATGGGCAGCGTGGGTGTGGAAACGGGGGGGTCTGTCCCCGCTGCTATCGGCTGCCCTTGGAGATGCTTCAGTAAACGGTGACGGCGCATCTTCAAGGGCTTTTGCTCAAATAGCACACAAACCTCACTCCAATAACCGTGCCGTTATTTGCCTACAAGTTATACTCACAATGTTAGAGCTGCAAGTTTAATCAATTTAATATAGAATTGCAGGGTTGCCAAATCTTACGGCAAATCTATATTATTCCATTATAAACCTAAAATTAGCTACATCAAAAGCGTTGGGGGTAGTTAACAAACCATACAGACTATTTACAAGGTAACAAAATTGTGACATACATGTAAATGCGTGTGCATGTGTGTGCAGAATTGTCTCGAACTGAAAATCTCACGCCAGCCAGCTGACAAAAGTTAGCAGCCTTGGGATTAACCCACTCTGAACCAGTACGGGATGCGATTTGTGCCATATTTTTTGACCAAGCGATCAAGTCCCCTCCCCTCGGAAAATGTAGTTGTCGTGGAGCCGGGGGTGGGGGTGGCGTCCCTATTTCTTTCAAATTTAAAGTATCAACCTTACACGCATTGGCTGTGTTGGACTTTATTCATATTTGTCTGAACGTCTGATCCACGTTAATAATGAAGATTGAAGACATTACATACCAGGACGAATTATGGAGGATCTGAAAGTTAAGCGAGCTGCATGCTACATAACAGTAGAGAGGAGGTCAGGAGCAGGCTGAAGGTGAGATCATTGTAAGACCTGAAAACTGTCAACCACATGGCTGCTGCCAGACCATCAGGGCGATGATCAAATCCCTCTGCCCCTAGGCGCGGCTCAGGATAACGCCGTCGTTCAGCGCTTGTCATGCCTTTTTGCGGCACTCGAACCTTTGAACAGAAATATTTTCTCTCCCTGGAAATGTGTGGGATTAACTGGGCTCCCGAACAATCTCGGCTCGCTGGCAGATGTCCGTCATTCACAAACAGCCGACCTGCACATCTTAAAGATGGTTCATTTCATTCTGCCAATTTCATTCTCTCTGATCTGCCTGGTACTGGAGTCGCTAGTACAGCATTAAACTATATTTTATAATAAACATTTTTGCAGAAACATTTCCCTGGGACTATTTAATTTGTTTTTCCACAAAACGCATGTAGTAACTCTCCTATACATTTATTAATGTAACAAAAGGGGACAAGCACGGATTTGAGACAGCGAAATCACTGCATTTTTGGGACCGTCACTTGGCTTCTGCATGACAAATGGCGTCTTTTTGAAATGCAACGCAGGATGTGCACAGTGAAACAGACAGGCTAGGCAGCGATAAAAACATTCTGCTGAAATACGGCCTGTCCATACGTAAAAAAATAGCGAGGATCAAGGAATAAAAAGCGTAGCATTCACGACGAGTACAAACGAAAACAAATTATTTTAAAAAAAGTTACAATTGAAAACAGTAAAGCAGTCTGTTGGACAAATACGAATCAGATTTCTTTAGGTGGCTAGAATTGACTTTTATACTCATCACCAGTTTTTATGGAAGTCCATGTGCTGTATATGTCTGTGAGGTATACAGGGGCGGAGCCAGAAATTATGGGCCCCCTGACAAAACTTTTTGCTGGGGGGGGGTTTAAAGTGCTGGGCCCATTGAATCTGGCAGACTTTCTATTCCCCTCCAACACCCTGGAGGTATATATGTATGTCAATCCAAGCTTCATCCCTGTGACAAACGTTTTGGATCTAACAAGACATTGGCTTCCTCTGAAAATGGAAAGCAAAATGGACAAAAACTGGATTTCCAGTATGCTCTCCCCCACTCTGCTCCAGGGCCTGCAGGCAGACGTTGCTCGTCCAGCACCTGCACGTTTACCTGAAGTAACCCGACAGAGGGCTGCACTCTCAGCTCATCCAAAGACGGGATTTGTGGAATCGCTGGTGGTCCCCGGGGAGTGGGGTTTAAATGGGCTTTTAAAAACTGCAGAAATGAGGGATCTGCACTAAGAAAATGGTGTAGAGTTACCATTTTGGTTTTGTGACTGGTCGTTCATTCACAACATTTACAGTGAGCCCTGGTATGGTTCACCCAGCTGAACACAACATAAAGAGATAAATACAAATGTCACTGCCGATGTTAACTCATTTGCCAGGCTGAAATTGATCTGCACATTCTTGAATAAGATGAGCATAAGATGGGTAGATGTACGGATGGTAGATAGACTCGGAACTGTCCTACGTTGTTTAAAATCTAGCTGATTCACATCAATAACATGATGCACCTCTGACATGCTGTGCGTCTCTAGCTTTCCCAAACTCCACCAGAAGACCATGACAGACGATGAGCGAGGATGAACAATCGGTCTGAAACTGGCCGCAGTATCAGTGTGGATATGAGGAGCCGACTTAAATAAAACGGAAGGTGCCGCAGGGCGAAGAGTTTTGCAAATTCAAACATACTGTATAACACTTCGATATCTACACGTAGCTTTTTCCTGGTCTTTACGTTCCTTTGGCCTCTGTTGGGTGAAAATAGGCACGCAAGAGTTTAGGGTTGCTGGTAGCACAGGTGTAAAGACCCCGACTGCAGCATAACTGGCTGGTGTGAAGCAACTATATCTGTGTACATGTCATATCTGTGGTGGATACAGCTTCAGAGCATCTGGCACTGGAGTCTGGGGTCATCCAGGAAGATGAGGTTGTCGACGGACTTGAGGTGGACACCAGTACTGGGGACCTCGGGGCGGGGCGAGCTGATAGGCTGTGATATGATGCTCTCCCCTAGGGTAGCAAAGACCAAAAGAAAATTCAAACCAAGACCCCTGGCTGAAGCCCTGTTTTATCTCCGCTAGTAAATAAGTTCCAGAGGTGGAAAGTTGAGGTCCAGAAAGTACAAATCCAGACCAAGGTTTTGTTTCAACCAAGCAGTTGTGTATAAAGAGTCACAGTCACACAGTACTCAGCTGGATGGTTGAAACAAAGCCTTGGTCTTGGACCTGGACTTTCCACCTCTGAGAAGGGCATGGTACATAAGACCATTAGCAGTATGTACAGAAGCTCTTGTCTCTGCTATGGAACGTCTGCCATGCTGCTGGTTTGGAGCTCCATTTACAGGGCTGCTAAGTGACCTGTGACCTCTACGATGTCAGATTCATTTGTTTGGTACCAATGGATGCTCTGGTTTTGTATATCAGACTTTTTATTAGATTCTTAGGTGACGTTTGTGTTTATAGCAATGTTTCCCAATCCGGTCCTCAGGGACCGATGGTCGGCTAATGTTTTTGCTGCCTCCCAGCTCCCAGTTGGGAGCAAAAACCTGGACCGTCTGGTGGTTCCTGAGGACCGGATTGAGAAACACAGGTTTACAGCATCCTAAGAAGTGTTCATAACTCTTGTTTGCATAACTATCTTGCCCTTGTCACTAGAAGCTCACTGGAAGCTGGTCCTAGCAGCACTTTACAGAACCAAAGTCGGCTCCTTGACAGTTGCGTGCTTGTGACGTATGTCTGTCTTGTTTGTATATCAATTTGGACAGAAGCATCTGGCAAATAAATCAATATAAATGTGAAATCTGCAATGTCAGTAATCACAGCAGGCGGGGAAATAGCGGGACCTTTTCCAGAAGAGACAGAGGACCGGCGCTGTCCCGTCCGGCACCCCGTGCTGTGGATATCTTCGCCGTTTCCACATGGACCTGACTCCAGAGTGACGTAGAGCTGTGGAGACGGTGGGAGAGACCCTCGTTTCAGGAACGCTAAAGGGCGATCAAATTACCGGCGGATGTCGGAGGAACGTGACACTGTGACATTTACAGCTACCGGTGGTGTATAAATTGCCGAAGCCAAAGGAAAGAAAAGTCTCCCTCACCTTTTCAGGACACATAATCACTCCCTCCAACCCCCCCCCCCCCTTCCCGCCCACTTTTCCCTTTCAAATCTACTAGCCGTCAGCCAGGATTACGGGGTGTTAAGATTGTGCAGCCCTGCGCTGATAATGAAAGACTGAAGGGTGTCTCTGGATTTTCCAAACAGAGAAAAACACAAAGGCAGTAAATTCCCATATACCCCTCCCCCACCCCCCCATCCAAATCTGATTTGTGCTGGCCCCCTCCCCCTGTTTCATTTGGAACAGTCACGTTACGGGGCCCAAAGGACAGGCGTCTGCGTCTGCCTTCGATATCTGCCGTTTGCCGCTTCCCACCCCGAGAGAGTGTGGATGAGTCTGCGTGACAACAGCCAAAAAAACAAGAACTGTGTGTGTGATGCAAAGGATGTTGGTCATCGGAAGACAAGTGGTTTGGTCGCCCCAAGTGGTTTACTGTAAATAAGGTGCCGCTGTTAGGGGTCTTGCCAAAGGGCAAAAGATCTGTACTGGAATGGTACTTTAATTATGAGCAGGTGATAAGACTTGTTCTGTCTGTTTAAATCAGGGGTCTCCAACTCCGGTCCTGGGGAGCAGCTATCCAGTAGGTTTTCCACCCTACCTGGCTTCTGATGAGCCACTCCAGCGGGCAGACAAATAGCAGGAAATAGTTCTCAGGTACATACCAGGAACAGGTGTGAATCATCAGAAGCCAGGGAGGATAAAAAAAACTTACTGGTCTCCGGGACCGGAGTTGGAGACCCCAGGGCTAAATAATTTCAATTTCAAGAAGTTTATTGTCATATACACACACAACGTTCAGAGCATGCAGTGATAATAAGTAAAGTAAAAGTAAAGTGTTCTGCGCTACAAATAAGGTAAGTCAATGAAAGTAATGAGTAAGGGGGCAGTGCTGGATGCATTGTTCATGAGTCTGAGGGCCTGCGGGCAGAAGCTGTTCGTGAGTCTGAGGGCCTGCGGGCAGAAGCTGTTCGTGAGTCTGAGGGCCTGCGGGCAGAAGCTGTTCGTGAGTCTGAGGGCCTGCGGGCAGAAGCTGTTTGTGAGCCTTATTCGCCTTGATTGCATACTCCTGTGTCGTGTTCCTGATGGCAAATGTTTGAGGAGCCCATGTTGTAGGTGTGTACTGTCCTTAATAATATAGCAATAAATATATTACTATTTACAAAATATACATATAAACAGAATCCGACCAATAACAAAATACTGGATATATAAGAACAAAAAGAATAATTCGTTTCAGCAATGAAAGGTTCAATATAGTATGTTGTGGTTGTATGTAGTTATGGGAATTGAAAAAAAAGTCTATATTTAGACTTTCCTTAATTACAAAATTATTTTCTTAAATATAAAACAGGATTTATATATCGCAAATAGTTATTATCTGCTTGGAGCCATGGACCTGGGGTCCAACAGAGATGCCCTCCCTTAGCACCATCTAACATCCTTGCTGCAATGCGATGACCGACCTCCAGGGGGCCTCGGTCCAAGGTCGCGCTCCTGCTGTCTTCAGCTCCGCTTGTATCGCTCATGTCGTCAGCTGGGGGGCACTTTTGGGAGAGCCGCCTGGACCTGGCAGGAATGGTACCTGTTTGAGGCGTGCTACTGGGCTCACATAGACATAAATGCAGTTAAGGCTCCCAACTGCACTTATTAGGATGGACAGAGATGTGGATTTAACAGGGAAAATGGAAAAGATGAAATGCGAGCTGAGACCATGTGTGCTGAGATTGGGACGTGCTCGTGTTTTTACTTAGAACATTTCACATTCCATTCTTTGCTCAAGCATCTCATGTCAGCATCGCAGCTTACGACCCTCTAACCATGACCATGAATGCAGAGCGATATCTGAGATGGCTCACTATCTGCTCGTCAGCAGACTCACTGGGACTGGACCTGGTATCCTTCAACAGCACCCTTGTTCTCCCCATCCCATCTAACAGTCCAATCAGGACATTGGATAGTAGGAGGTGCTCAGGCAGCTGTCTTTCGGACTGTTCTGTACCGCATGGGGGTTGAAATATGTTAATGAGTATAAAATACATTGGGTGAGGGATCTCTGCCTTTGTCCAGAAGGTTGTGGGTTCTAATCCCATGGCCTCCAGAGTAATCATTTCACCGCTGGTCCCTTGAGCAAGACCCTTAACCCCAACTGCTCCAGGAATGGCGAATGATCCCGCTTTCTGACCCCAAAAGCTTTCCGCACTTGTCCGTTGCTTCGGACAAAAGCATCTGCTAAAAACATAAGAATGGCTTTGCGTTTACTACGCAGGGAGATAGACGTGGTGGGCCGCAATCCGGAAATGGTGGGCTGTAAAGTCCAAACCGGCTGATGCTCATCCTCGCACCCATGTAAGTGTCGCTGCAAATTGAAGCCGATTCGGCAGGCAGAGCGTGTGTGAGGCCGGCGAAACTCCTGCCGGTGCCGCAGAACTGGCAGACGCACCGCGAACGAAATCCACACAGGCGGGCGCCTTGTGATAAATCTGAATATTCAACCCCTGTGACCCCGCAAACACGACCAAGGAGGAAATGCAGATTTGGGAAGTAAGCGGATGGTGTGGCTTTTTGGGGAGAAAGGAGAGAAGGTTGAGGGGGGGGGGTGGAGAGAAAAATCAGACAATGCGAAAACACCGGCAGTCGAGTGTGACGGCAATTTAAGGCAGAAATATTGCTGAGCGGGCGGGCGTTTAAATAAGGTTATAGATCGCTGGCTCCATTTTTGGGCACAGAAATTACCTAATTTGACGGGTAATTGCTGTAGTACAAGCCGAACCAAGCATGTAATTGAATGCGTGCAAGTCCAAGGAAGCGGGGAGGGGGGGGGCACTGCTTTGTGAGTCACGACCACCCGGGACAGCTTGGCCAGCAGCTGTGGAGAAATTTGTAAAACCTGTGTCTCCTCGATGCCCCAGCCAGATAAATAAAAGCAGGAGCCCCACCCCCCAGTTCTCGAACCCTGGCTGCCAGCCAGCCACGTAACCCCCCC